CAATGGAACTGTGTGTTCGTACATGCATTTCATGCGCAAAATTTTGTTCAGGAACAATTAACTGAGGGTATTGCAAAGCAAGCTTTTGCTCCCAAGGTCTTAAGTGTAAATTTAGAATACCTCCTAACACAGAGGCGAAGAGACTTGCATGGTTGCCTGGCTGGAACAGATTGGAAGGCAACCTAGACCAATGGTGGCGTTAACTCAGGGACGTTCAGAAGTATCAAAGACCTTTATCTCAATGGTGATTTCAGATGTGATTTCACTTTGTCCCTATATTCCTGCATTGGGGGTATTGCAGTGTGAAAGGCAATGAATGATAGCAAAGAAAGGGATAGTAATCTGGTTTTTGTTTTGATTTTATGTAAGTGATTTTTCATGTGAACTGCCCTGAGACCTTCGGGTATAGGGCGGTATAGAAATAAAATAAATAATATTAATATAATATAATATAATATAATATAATATAATATAATATAGGGAGGGGGAACCCATCCCAGTGAGGTCATGGAGGTTTAGTAGGAAGCAAACTCATGAGGCATCTTTAGATCTGTCCGCCAAAAGCTCTAATCCAATCCAATCCAATCCAAATAGATTTATTGTACTATTCATTGTCTATGAGAAATGTTAATAAAAAATGAATACATGTAAAGGGATCCCACACCACAAATACTAGTCTCTATTTAGAGCTCTGCGTCTCCCTTACAGTTCAGTGGTATATTGTCCAGGGTCGTCTTTCTGATCTATGGGGCACGTGTGGCACTGTGGTCTGAACCACTGATCCTCTCTGACTTGCCATTCAGAAGGTTGGCAGTTTGAAAACCCATGACAGGGTGAGCTCCCATTGCTCTGTCCCAGCTCCTGCCAACCTAGCAGTTCGGAAGTTCAAGTAGATAAATAGCTACCATTGCAGTGGGAAGGTAAACAGTGTTTCCCTGTGCTCTGGTTTCCATCACGGTGTCCCGTTGTGCTAGAAGCGGTTTAGTCATGCTAGCCACACGACCCAGAAAGCTGTCTGTGGACAAATGCTGGTTCCCTTGGCCTGAAAGTGAGATGAGCGCCACCATCCCATAGTCGCCTTTGACTGGACTTAACCGTCCAGGGGTCCTTTACCTTTTACTTTTTTGATCTTCTTGGCTCCAGAGTAAAAAGGGCAATTCTGTGAGTAACTGAAGCGTTTGCATCACTAAGAAGCCATAGGACCTCATCTGCTCTAATCAGATATGACAAAATGAGAATTATGTAGATCTTTCACATGAGACTTTGCCAGCCCTATCTTTAGGCAGATTGAGACAACCACCTCATGTGGGAAATACTGGGGACAGGGCCCTCAATTGTTCCTCCTGGGCTTCCCTTCCATTGGAGAACAAAACTGTGCTTTTCACAAATCTTGTCCTGTTCCCCTCATGTGTAGTGGAATACATTGTTCCACTGTCACTATTGGAGTGAGATTCTGTACGTGCAATTGGTAAAGGAGTGGGATGAAGAATCCATTTAAAATGGATTTATATACTTGAATCTGATTATTCTAACTGGAACAAACTTTGCTCACAACAAAACATCTATTTTATTAAGCACCTGCATACGTCTGAGCTGCTTGTGCATTGTCAGAGTTTTTAATAAATAAATCCCAACTAATTATATGCAAAAGTATGTATATTATATGCAAAATATAGCTAAAAGAGTCAAGACCCATGCTGGACTATATTTTCGCAACACAGTTTTATAAGTACAGTGGTACCTGGTTCTCGAACTTAATCCATTCCAGAAGTCAGTTTGACTTCCAAAATGTTTGAAAACCAAGGCTTCTGATAGGTGTAGGGCCCCCGAAAACAATAGCTGACAGCCGCATCAGATGTTTGGCTTCCGAAAAAGGTTCAAAAACTGGAACACTTACTTCCAGGTTTTCGGTGTTTGAGAACCAAGGTGTTTGAGAACCAAGGTACCACAGTATACATATTTTATCCTTTCAGAAACCTGTACATTTGTACAATATATGTATATTAGTATGCAAGATTTGTTTATATTTTTAGTGGGACTAGGAGAAAACTCAATTAAGAAATAAAATAGGAATTAGAAAAAATCCATGTGGATAAGCTCAACTTAATTAATTTTTTTAAAAAACCAATTCCTACATGGGACTCAGCTGCATTCATAAAGATAAAGCGCTTTATATGTGTTATAACACTGTGACACCAGATGGCGCTGTGGAGTCCCATCTTTTGCCAATGAGATTTCCCTGTGTGAAGTTTACAACCCGTTTAACTGAATCGCTTTTTTGATGTGTCTAGATCCAGCTCAGGTGAGGCACCGTCTTGTCTTTCCCTTCACACAGCAAAATGTTGGGCTTTATATTCCCCAATGTGGTTGACTTTAAAAGAGGGATTCCATAGTTCATCTTTAGTATAAAGCATTCATAGTTATAAATCTGGGCTGGAGATGCTGTGGAGGAGAAACAGCCCACGATCTTGAACAGAACATAAGGATGCCCTATTACTGTGGCTGTTCAGGCAAATTTTAATAGCTCCAATGTTGTTTACTGTCAGAATAGTCAAGTATAAATTAGATAATTGAGTCTGCTTCTGATTTTGGTATTGTTGACAAGTTGTTAATATTAATGTGGCCTGTTTGTATCTTTGATGATGTTATGGCCTACAGCTTAAACAATTAATAAAGAAATTCATTCATCTGTACTTGCGTTCAAGGAAGCTCAACAGGCCAAAGTATATAAAATTGTTAGCGGAAATGAAATATTGGCACAAGCACCATTAAAATCCTGCAGTTCTGCTTAAGGGTCATGAATTGCTGTTTTGCATTCCTTGGCATTGTTGTGGACAGTGGGACACTACTAGAAATGACTTGTTGAAACTTTTAGAAAATGTTGCTTGCTGTGACTCATGCCAAGTATTAAAATTTAACAAACAAGGTGGTCATTAGTTGCATCTGAAAAGGTTTGCATTGAGTCTGGCAAATGTTATCGGCATATATTCTCTAAAGATGGAATGTTCAATTAAATGGGAAAACAAGGTTTACTCAACCAGCGATAAAGTGAAAGGTATTTATTTTATGGCAAAGACTGCCAACTTTTCTGTCTCAGCTGAAAGCTCACGGGGAGCACCTCTTAACCTAACAGAGTACAATTAAAATGATTTACTATTTATTTTGTGTTCTCGAAGCTACCAGCATGAGTCTGACCAAACTGTGGGAGGCAGTGGAAGACAGGAGTGCCTGGCGTGCTCTGGTCCATGGGGTCACGAAGAGTCGGACACGACTAAACAACTAAACAACAACAACAACTATTTATTTTAGAATTTGCACAAATCAAGATGGCCAAATGAAATAATAAGAAGAGGAAAATGCAGTAGTTGGGCTTAGTTTGAAGAATTATACCTTGCTGGTCTGGACTGATTGTACAGCCTTGTTTTATGGACTGTTGTGTAATATACAGATGACATATCTTTTTTTGTTTATTCGTTGGGAATTAATTATAGGACTAACTTGAGAAGCCTGAACTGACCGGGGGCTCAAATGGGAAGGGCAGCAGAACTCCTCTGTAAGGCACATTATTAGTCTGAGGCTGAGAATATTAAAGGTTGCAAAATTCTGGAACCTGTAACCCCGGGGGTGGAGTATGATTGGCAGGGGGGCAATTAGGCTGAGTCTATATGAAAGGATAGCTAGACTGGAAGCTGGTGATCCTTATTTATACTGTTTTGTATTTATCCACAAAATGGGTTTTCAAAATTTATGAATATTTGTGTTTAAATATGTACTTAAATGTGCATTTTATCACAAAATACATATTTATTTTAGTTCAATGTACACATTAATAAACTTATTTTAACCCCAAATATGTTTTAACCCCAAATCTATGTTCTGAGCCAAGAAGAATTTCACAAAAGTATAAGATGCAAAAGGACCCTTACGTTTTGATCCCTGAATTAGTTTGAGAGGTACAAATTAGTTCAGTTTACTTTGAAATGTGAACCAAACAAAATAACCTCTATCTCCTGTTGTAGTCTAACAGCATATGAGGACACAGTTGAGGATGGCCAATTTACCATTATGGGAATGAGCCTTGACAAGTCTTCTGCTCATGCCCTTCCCACCGCTGGCAGGGCTGCAAGTAGAAGTTCAGAATACTGTGCTTCCATTTTAGATTAGCTACAGTTTATTGTGTCATTTGAACCCGACAAATTATTGTGAAGTTCAACGATGGTTTGTTGAAACCTTCACGTGAGAGTTTATGAAGTTGGTTTGTTTCAACAAGTCGCAGTTAAGGTGAACCGCAGTTCAGAGTCTGAAGAACGTATTAAACTGCAGTTAATCTGAAAAGGAAATAGAAGCATTCCATCTCCTCCTTCTTGCTCCTACACAGAAGATGGGAATGTGAGAGTGTATCAGTCTGAGGCTCATTGTGGCTCATCCTCATAATGCTAAAGCATGGTTTAGTATTATGCCTGAACCAAGGCACTCTAAATTATGCCTCATAAAAGCAGCCAAGATTCCAACAGATAAGCCGCCAAGCCACACATCTGCCAGCATGTAAGCATTTGGAACTTCCCTCATCACACATTGTTGTCTGGGGGAGGAATAATTTCCAGTGACCAGGAGGAACATATGTTTGCTTGCAGAATTGCACGTTTATTAGTATATTTCGTAAGGTAGAAAGGAGAGACGTTAAAATCTCATCAGTGCCAGCCAAGTTCATGTGGGTTGGAGCCTGTTTTAAGACAGCTTGGAAGTGGGCTGGCTGCTTTTTATTTGTGTTTGTCCATTAATTATCAATGCTCATTTTGAATTGCTCATTACCTAATAGAGTGTGGTAAGTCATATGCCAATCTGGCTTAAGCACCTTGGAAGGATGAATAAACAGAACCTCATCCTGCATTTTTAAAGTGTCATCTACATAATAACCAAGATGCTTTTAAAAAAATAAAAAAAAAATGATATGATGGCAACTTTAATGGTTGCAAAACCTGAGTGTCTTCAGTTTAATAGCAACTGAGGGATAACTCAGTCAGTAGAGTATGAGACTCTCAATCTCAGGGTTGTGGATTTGAGTCCCACACTGAACGAGATCCCTGCATTGCAGGCGGTTGGACGACGATTCTCCTGGTCCCTTGCTTGTTGTTGTTTAGTCGTTTAGTCATTTAGTCGTGTCCGACTCTTCGTGACCCCATGGACCAGAGCACGCCAGGCACTCCTGTCTTCCACTGCCTCCCGCAGTTTGGTCAAACTCATGCTGGTAGCTTTGAGAACACTATCCAGCCATCTCGTCCTCTGTCGTCCCCTTCTCCTTGTGCTCTCCATCTTTCCCAACATCAGGGTCTTTTCCAGGGAGTCTTCTCTTCTCATGAGGTGGCCAAAGTATTGGAGCTTCAGCTTCACGATCTAGGTGACCATGTTACCTAGGCCTAATTCCAGAACAGGACTAAAGTGTTTATGCTTTACCATAGGACAGCCATTTGAGTCTTTAAAAATCATAATTTGTTTTTATTGCTGCTTGAAAGAATGACCAAAAACCTGCTTAGATAAAATCAGGCACGTACAAATGATTATGGGTTGTCATTCATTACAGACAATATTGTATTCTTCCTTGGACACAAAAGGAGTACACTGTTTTTATTGCTCTTCGGTGGAATGGCATGCTTGATCGATTGTGTTGCTGTTTGCAAGGGGAAGGCAAAATATTGCAAACCTTCTGTGTAATGTAACTTGAACATTTGTTAATAGCAGGCGCTGTTAACTAGCATTTGTTTGTAGCAGGGCTGTGTTTGCCACCCTGGTTGCCTGTTATTTTTGTTTTCTGTTTCTTTTGTATGCCTTCACTCATCAGCCATTTGACCTTGGATAAGTCATTATGTTCCTCATTTTAGACTTCAGAATAATTGGACTAATCATCTGTAATAATTAGGGGAGCCATGAGGCCTGACTAATTATTTGAAAATTGTTTTAGACTTTGCCATGAAGAATTTTACTCATCGGCTGTAAGAGTTGTGCTTAGGTAGGGAACATTCCATGGCAATATGCTTTGTTTAAAATAAAATAAAAACAGCCAGCAACACGTGAAATGGCAAATGGAATACATTCATTCCTTCAGATGATGATGATCGTCTTCTGAATCGTTTTAGAGAGAATGCAGTTTTGAGCAAAATGCACATAGGCAAGGATGATTTGTTCTACTTATACAAGGAATGTGACCAAATGACCCGACAGAATCATACTATCATGGAATTGTAGAGTTGTAAGGGACTCTAAGGTTCATCTAGTCCATCCCCCTTGCAATGCAGCAATCTCAACTAAAGCACTCATAGTGATTGGCTGGCCACCTATCTGACACTCTTGTCATAGTTAAGTGGTGCCCTTCCTAGTGGCACCATCATGGCAGGACTTCTAAGACATAAGTTCAGGGCCCAAGTCAGTTGGAAGGTCTCTGAACACAGCAGGGCTGGTTTACCACATTGGGAATATAAAAAATATTGGGGATATAGGAACCTGCCTTATACATACAGACCATTGGTCCATTTAGCCTAGCACAAAAACAAAATCCAGATAAGCCCAGATTCTAAAATTATCTAACTACATTGCTGGGCTCCTTCCAAACAGAAGGACAGATATATAGTATGAATGGGCAGAGATTATCCAGTTTTGTCCCTTTCAAATGGATTCACTCTTAAGTCTGTTCTGTCCTGCTTATGTGTGATTTCCCTAATAAATACATAAACCTGCACATTAGCCTGCATATCAGATGAGCCCTCTTTGAGATCCAGACTTGCCAAATCCCCCTAGCATCCCTAATATAACGCCCTCTGTTTTATAACCATGCACACCTTGACAAAGAAGTATGTGTATGTACCATCTTATCTAATTCAGGATTTCCCAAATTTGGGTCTCCAGCTGTTTTTGGATTACAGCTCCCATCATCCCTGGCTAGCAGGACCAGCGGTCAGGGATGATGGGAATTGTAGTCCAAAAGCAGCTGGAGACCTCAAAAAAGCATAACAAATGTTAACTTGATCTGAGTGTTCTGCTCAGGGAACACTGAGCACAAAAACCAAAGTTCCAGCAAATAATTCATGAGCCTATGGCTTAGAGATACATCTGCATAAAATGTTCATTCAACATTTGCAGATACATTTGTAACCATCATCTATATATGGAAAATTCATGAGTGGAAAACTCATCAGTTAACTCCAGGTTTTTTTTATATATTTTTTATAATGTGACTAGTTTGCCATCTTTAATTATGCCCGAACATTTTGAAGAAGAGAAAGAGAAGAGATTATGGGCCATCAGTAGCACTTTTGCCCAAGCAAATGATGGGAGCTTTAATAACGATATTAAGGAAACCATTCAGACTCAACTTGAGCTACAGCAGCTTGTGCAGTAATGTACTTTGCATAAGCCAAGAAATATCATTTTTAATTTGCTTGTCCAGTCAACTGAGACAATGATCACCCCATTTTTATTATAATACGTATTAGAAAATAACTGCGATCAATCTTGTGGTGTACTTGTCTGCCACACATTTAGAAATGCAAGGGGGTGTTTTTGTTTTCTCATTAATTGGAAACCATTAATGGGAGGTGAGGAACAAACTCAGACAGCATGGGGCTCCTATCGCATATTTCCTGTACTGGCAGGAACACTGAAACATGTGGCGAGACACAGGCATTTGCAAACAGCATGGTTCTTTCTATCTTCATAGCTGTAGTGTTCAGTAGCTGTAGTGTTCAGTAGCTTTGATACCACAACTCTCTTTCTGAAGTACCATCTAGTCCTACTGCATTTGCCAAGCACACTCCTCGATACATGGAAAGGGCGTATCGAGTGGCATTAGCTGACTTCTCTTCAGTGGGCCTGAAATCCTTTAAGATGTTGTGTAGCAGAGCCTGATGTAGCTCTGAACTGTAACAATTGTTCTTCTGATGCCTGCCAAATCCATATAGCATCAGGTCAAGACTTTGTCTACACAAGGCGAAAGACAAGGCAGCCACTAGCAGTTAAATCTTAGGTAAAAGGTAAAGGTAAAGGGACCCTTGACCGTTAGGTCCAGTCGTGACCGACTCTGGGGTTTCAGTGCTCATCTCGCTTTATTGGCCAAGGGAGCCGGCGTACAGCTTTTGGGTCATGTGGCCAGCATGACTAAGCTGCTTCTGGTGAACCAGAGCAGCGCACAGAAATGCTGTTTACCTTCCCGCCAGAGCAGTACCTATTTATCTACTTGCACTTGGACATGCTTTCGAACTGCTAGGTTGGCAGGAGCTGGGACCGAGCAACAGGAGCTCACCCCGTCGCGGGGATTTGAACCGCTGACCTTCTGATCGGCAAGTCCTAGGCTCTGTGGTTTAACCCACAGCACCACCCATGTCACGTTAGTTAAATCTTACATCAGCACAATGTTCCCCACTGCATCCGTCTTGGCTGGGGGTCCAATGCAGACTGCAGGGCACACACACCTTTATTGCCCAACGCTCTGGAGTTAAACCAGGCTGGGCTAGAAATAGGAACTGGTGCTGGTGAGAAAAGGAAAGGGCAAGAAGAGTACCCAAATGGAAGGACACAGAAATAATAACAGAGATAGCCCCGCTATGGGACAGAAGCAAGTCAGTGGACTAGGACTTGAAGGAAGGAGGAACTTAGTCTGAACCATGGTGTGGCGTTTGCCCTCCTAGGTGTGTGACATCATACTGGGTTCATAAGGAAAGTGTTAACTAATTGTAAAATGACTAACCAATGGGAACCCAAGGGGAGGAGTTAGAGTTAGAGTTAGAGTTAGAGTTAGAGTTAGAGGGGTTGAGAAGTTAGTCTGGAGTTAGAGAAGAGAGAGAGAAGATAAGTCTGTGGGCTGGGCTAGTCTGATGTGGGAGAGTGAGAGAATCTGTTAAGAGGAGTCAGTCAGTTGAGATAATCAGTCAGAAGGTATTAAGATAGGCTGGCAAAGGAACTAAAGTTAAGAAACTGACAAGAATATTATCTGAGAAACCATAAACTTGTTAATACTTATAAAATAAAGTTGTTTATTTGGTTCAATTTTAACAACTGTCTGGACTCAGTGTGTACCCGAGAGTAACGGGTTGGTGGCAGCAGGGAAGCAAGCACAGTGGTGGCACAGGGATCAATAGACCTTGTGTGACTGCCACACCTGGCTCTGGAACATGGAAGATGGGCCCGTGTGTCAACAATAAAAGTTGAAGGGTCTTTTTTTTGTTTGTTACAACATCCCAAATTGTGAGCCTGATTTCTATCTTGGAAGCAGGGAATAGATGGAGTCATCCAATGCAGGGCTGTCCACAGGAATCCCAGAGATAATAATTTCAAAATGCATTTGGTTGCTTTCCAGTGCGGCTGATATCCATAGAATCACAGAAGCATAGAATTGTAGAGAAGGGACCATGAGGGTCATCTAGACCAACCCCCTGCAATGCAGGAATCTTTTGCTCAACGTGGGGCTCAAATCCATGACCCTGACATTAAGGGTCTCATGCTCTACCAACTGAGCTATGTTGGAGGGTTCAACATATTAATATACTGTACTGTAGCTTAGAGTTGCTGCCCAAGTTGTTTTTAGGATTCTGGACACTGCAGTGGAACTGAAGCACACTTCATTGTGTCTTGGATGTACTGAAACTTATAACAATACTTTGTTAAAACAGCAACACAACATTCATCCCAATCTAGTCAGGGCGACCTGCACCTCAAAACATGTTTATGTGCTTGAATCAGCTTTCTCGATCAGCTCTGTTTAAGCAAAAGGGCGGGGTGCAGAAAACAAACCAAATACACATATACCTAGAACATAGGAATGAATCATGTGCCTTTGCTGCATTAACAGACAAATGACTGACTACCCAGAGCAACTGCTTTGACTGCTATGACTTTGAGGGGTGGGTGGGTTCTGAGTACAGGTACTGCCATTTCCCCCTTTCCTCACCCCAAAGGCAATGAAAGCTGAGAGTGTAGATAATAACACACACACAGTTAGTTAGTTAGTTAGTTAGTTAGTTAGTTAGTTAGTTATACGAGATTAAAACCAACAAAACCCTAAAGGTCATGCTATAGCTATAGTTTCAGGTGGAGGATCTGAAGCTGTTAGGATGGCTGCACTGCATTCTAAGCCAAATCTGTATGTGAAGACAGATAAGGGTGGAGAGAGAGAGAATTATGAATGGAGAAAGAGGCTAGAGTCAAGAGAAGCATTTTATATATAGATTTGCAATGAGTTGTTCCTGTGATCTAATTCTCTCTGGTGATAGACACTGTAGCCTTCAGCAAGTCAGTCCATCGCACCCATTTCTTAAATGGAGATAAAGTTAAATCATCTCTCAGGAAAGGTTGGAGCAAATTAGGAATGCATCATATTGCCAGCTTTAGCAGCGCAGTGTTTAACGTTGTCTGGGTTCAGAAAATAGCCGCTTGCTCAATGCCAGAATAACATGACGATGTGCTCATTTAATAACTGTTGCATGCAGGGCATACAGTATACTTAAATTGGAATGGTACAGGGAAGATCAGCATGGCCTCTGCACATGTATTTGTTTATCATGCAAGGGAGCATGAAGAAATAGCTGGAAAACCATCACTACATCTTGTAAGAGTGAATACTGTAGTGTTATTGTGCTGTGTGAAGGAATACCTTCTTTCGTCTGTCCCAATTCTTCCAATATTCAGCTTCATGAGTTCTGGTGTTATGAGAGAGGGGGGAAAGCTTCTCTCTGCCTACTTTCTCCACACAATGCATCATTTGATAAGTCTCTATCATGTCTCCTCCTACCCTCCTTATCTCCAAACAGACCTTTGGTCTGATTAAATGCTGCAATTTTATCCGTGTATTTTGTTACCTGGCTCCTGTTTTATGCTTTAATTTGTTTTTATGTTTTTCATTGTGAACCATCCTGAAAGGTGGCATAAATATATGGAAAGTCTGATATGGATTTCTCTTGCTTCCATAGTGTTATGCTCTGTCTGTGTGGAAGCCATTATGCCAGCCCAGACTATTAACCTCTCATTAAAATATGACCAGCGGGTCTGCGTGGTATAATTCAAATTGCATTAGAGTAAGTGGAAAGCGCTGAAATGCTTCAGAACAGGCTATGTGATCATTTCTTTAGCTGGTGACAGGTGGAACTGACAATTGGCTTTGCTTTAGAGGTTCTCTAGAACTCTGCTCACCAGGTAAGGTTGCCATCTTTGTTTGGGCAAAATACAAGACAGGTCTGGCAAAATAAAGGGCAGGTTGGGGTGGGGATTGGGGGGCACAGACACTCTCAGGACACCAAGTCCTCTCCCGCCTTTGCGGAGGAGGGTTCCCCATATTTGGCCCACCACCACCCAGGCCTGGCCCTGCTCTTCCCATCAACTCACACACATGGGCAGGGACCAGGCAGAGGTAGATGGCTGGCTCCCATGGGTGACTTGAGTCACAGCTCCAGCCTCTTGCCTATGCTGATGTCAGAACAGACTTGAGCACGCAGGAGGACGGAAGAAAATAGTTCAGGTCAGGGGCAGAGGGGGCCAAGCAGTGACAGACCCATATTATGCTAGACCGGTGGGTGGCAGCTGAGGAGGAGCACCAGGGCAAGGGATAGAGAGGAGGTTGATCTCTCCTCCTTCTCTCTATTGTCACTCACATCAGGTGGGGCTCCTTGTCAGCCATACCAACAGCGATGCAACTGCCATTTTGGGCTGGCTGAGCTCAAATATGGGGAACAGGGGACACTTTTGTCCAAAAAATGGGGTGATCCCATTGTTGTTGTTTTTTTAAGGGATGGCTGGCAACCCTGTCACCAGGTGACACCACTCTTCATGGACTGTACCACTTCAGATTGAAGCTAGGGGGTTGAATGATTAAATGACGCAGGGTTTTATCCAATGGTTGCAGGAGTGGAAAGCAACTGTTGCAACTCATCTTTCCTTTCATTCCTGTCCTTCAAAGTCCCATAGCCTTTACAAAGGGTTGTGGGAACCTGCTAAACATTGTAGGTACATTTTTTTTTCTGACGAATTTCTGCCATGGCCTATTTCCAGTGTTAAAATGCAAACAGGCTGTTGGAGTAGAACTGTCTCATCTCTCCGCTGAAAGGTGACACAACCTAAGGGAATAGTTCCCAGCTGAACAAAATAGCAACATTCCACCAAGGCATAAAATGTGCCTATATATCCACCTGGCCCTTCACCAACAACTGATTGCTCTCGAGTTTGGCTTTTGCATTTTTTATTATAGTACCGACAAACACACACACACACACACCCCATTGTGACCAATTGCTCTTTGTTACGTTGCCAGAAGTTGCAAAGAAACAGGCTACAAATGAACAGTAGCTGGTGGGGGCTGAATACACAATAGAATTATTTACAGTTGAAGGGTTTTAAGCACCCAGAAAGATTAGGCTCCTTCAGACTCTCTGGCTCAGGCTTTGAGAAACGGAGTGCTCTGTTTTATTCTGGCAGGGCTTGTTCAACAGAGTAAATGGCTTTGTGGGCAGAGAAGCGGCTGGATCGTTGCTCAAATCAAGAAATGTCATGGAGGCTGGCAGACCAGACTCCCCCACTGCTAAAATGCCAGACGAGGAAGGCATAATAACAATTAGCCACCTGAGAGGAACAATGGGGGCGAAAAACAAAAAAAATTAAAAGCGGGATAGAGAAGCAAGTTGAAGGTGCCAATTGTAAACTTTAAGTAGCTAAATTCTTCCAGGGGTTACAGGGAGAGGGGGAGAAAGAGAGAAGACACCTTGTTGGAAAATCTGAAGGATTTTTAGTTCAAGGCCAAGGAAGAAAAACACTCTCAAAGAGGTAGCCAGGAAAACACTTATCCAAGGCAATTGTAACTTGCATTTCTGGGTTAGGCAGGGGCAAAAATTCACATTAATTGATTGGTTTCATGGCAATCTCAGATGTTTTTGAGACAAAATGACACAGAGAATAAACATGTTCACAGACGGCTGAAATTGCAGGCCTTATCTAAACCAAAGCCAGAGGGGGAAACAGGAAACTTGAGCCAAGGCAAGTCATTTGAAATGTACAAAAGCAGCATACGATAATTGCCATTCCAGCTGCTCTCTGCAAGTTTTCAGGTGGAGGAAGGGCCGCACACAAAGAGAAATAGCGAATGCAGGTAGGAGACCAGCTAACATTACAATTTCATGGAGTTTTGACTCTACAGAATGTTGAAAAGGGTAATCCAAAATTATGATAGGGTTGGAGCGACTCCACAATGAGGAAAGGTTGCAGCAGTTGAGAATATTTTGTTTAGACAAAAGGCAGGAAAGAGATGACGAGAGTTTTATAAAATCATGCATGGAGAAAGTGGATAGAGAGAAGTTTTCCTTCCTCTCTCATGCCACTAGAACAGTGCTTCCTAACTTGGGTCTCCAGCTGTTTTTGGACTACAAATCCCATCATCTCTGATCACTGGTCTTGCTAGCTAGTTATGATGAGAGTTGTAGTCCAAAAAAACAGCCAGAGACCAAAGTTTGGGAAATTCTGCACTAGAACATCCAAGGAAGCGGAATGATGGAAAATTCAGGACAGATAACAGAAAGTACACCCTTACACAGTGTGTAGTTAAACTATGGAAGTTGAGTTTGAGACCATGAAGAATACATCCTGAACGCCCTTTCTTGCCTTTGACTTAACCATAGTTGATTGGGCTTTAGCTAATAAAGCCTTCATTTGTAAAAACATTGTATTTGCTCTGCAGGTACTTGCTTTTACCAATCAAAGGATCATACAATGCTTCCCCCCCCCCTTTTTACCAGAAGTTGCTAGTGCTGTGGTTTATTTGTGTCAAAGTGCTGACACTTTGGGTTTAGTTCCTGAAAGCTATCAGAAATGATCTGGCCTTTCATTTCATCAGAGCCAACTTTTTAAAATACCCTTCCCTCTCTGTACCTGACTCTCTACTTTTTATTTACTGGCACTTTACTTTCATGGGCAGCTTAGTAAGCATTTAAACACTCCACGCGACCACATCAGTTCCAAAGGATATCTCTTACTTGACCTTTATTGAAAGGAAATGTGGCAAATGCGTATTAAGCCAAAATGTATGAGAGACTTTGACGCAGATACGAGATTTTCTACATTTTTTATATTAAAATTTATTACACACATTATTGATTATTGATCAAAGATACAGCAGGATCAGCTACAAGACAACAACCTAATTGCAAACTAAAGTTTAATTCGTGATCTTCTTAGTTATGGAACAAGCATTAACCTTTTTAAAAAACTCCCCTAAATGGCAACAGCCTATTTGCTTCTATTATTGTTGTTGTTGTTGTTGTTAAAAACCATAATTTTATTAATCTAGATTTATAAGATAGCTTACAAAAGAAAACCATAAAACAAATATAAAACAGATCAAAAACACCAGAAACAAAGCAGTTATCGTAGCAACAGTAAAAATACAAAAAAAGTAGATATAAAATCAGCTAAAATCCTGGACAATCTTTTTTTTTGGGGGGGGGGATATCTAAAACGTGGCTCTCCGGGCAACCCAATCAGGTAGTGGCATATAAATAATAGTAATTATTATTAAGAAAGCCTACAGAGTGGCAGGGAAATGTAGAGAAGGACCCCTGGTGCTAAACTTAACAGATAGGTAGGTTCCTTTAAAAAAAAAAAAGGAAAGGGGAAAAACTAACGTTTTCAATGAACAGACACCTCTGTGATTATGATAGCATTAAAATATCCTGTTCTTCTTCAATAAAAAAGAAAAAGGGAGACCAGAATGTATCAAAGGTATCTTTTTTTGAGATGCCCTTAATTAGTCACCGATGGTGTGTGAGGGGTTCTGATAGAGCAATACAGTGGTACCTTGGGTTACATACGCTTCAGGTTACAGACTCCGCTAACCCAGAAATAGTACCTCAGGTTAAGAACTTTGCTTCAGGATGAGAACAGAAATTGTGCTCCGGCGGCGCGGCACACTTTAGGCCCCATTACCTAAAGTGGTGCTTCAGGTTAAGAACAGTTTCAGGTTAAGAACGGACCTCCGGAACGAATTAAGCACTTAACCCGAGGTACCACTGTACTCCAGATATTATTAACCCAAGCCTCTATTGGTATATTAGAGGTTACCTTCCATCGCTGGGCAACAACTAGTCTAGCTGCTGTGAACAGGAAGGAAAAGAATTCTTTAGATTTAAGGGTAGAGTTTGGGGCCAAAGCTAGTGATAATAAAACAAGTGTCAAATTAGGAGAGAGATCTTGTTTGGTAACTTTGGAGGACAGATGAAAAACTTTTTTGCCAAAAGTACACTCCCACCAAACATTAAAGTAGGAACATCGTTTCCCGCATAATGGTGAGCTTGAAGGATTTATCTTTACAACGGCATATTTGCAACTGAGAGTGAATATCCCAGATAGATGAAAGTATTGCAAACAGCTGCCATGGATCAGTGAAGAAGGAAAAAAGTGACTTTCAATGGGAAACAGTGATAAGCAATCGCCTGGATATGTGATAAGTAGCAACCAGATCAACACTGACAGTAGAGCAAACAATATGCACATTGATCCTAGGATTTAGTCTTTCAGTACTGTAGCAACAGAATTATGGAAAACCAGCAT